AACAACAATGGTGGGTCAACCCCACGAGCAAGTTCTCTCTACTATGACCCAAATCAAAGAATCAAATAAATTAATCATTATGAATCGGACGAGTACTATATCTGTATACATCCTAAGGGAACTATCCAATGTATAACATGACCTCAACCAGAATAGACGGTGATCACTTAGACTCACACTAGGTGGTTAAGTGTCGCCTTTCCCTACCCGGGAAATCAGCTATTATACATGGTGCACGGTACTGACAACACAGACTATAACGAACTACACAGTGATAACACCTCTCAAAGTACTGATGAATATACTGAGCATATAAATTAGGCAACACATGCCAATAATATTACTAAACATACTGAGTATATCAATTAGGCAACACATGCCAATAATATTAAACCACATACCCCGACAGCCACACATCTGTCTATAGCAACGAATGCATAAGGTATAAATGAGTCTAAACTTATTAGCCAGCTCACATGGTTCTATATGGCAACTCATCCATATAATATAAATGTGACATAATTAAACAGTCCATTTATTTCCTGAAATGCACACAGTATAATAATCATGGTTGATATATGATTAACAGTATAAATATCCCATAATATATATTGGATAATTTATATGACTAAAACATGGCATTATTTAATTTAACAGTAATGTTTGATACCATTTAATAAGATATTAACACCATTTATATTTAACAATGTCATTAAATAAATCACATTAATATCCGTACCGTAAACGAGCCAATAGATGCTTAGAAAAGATTAATTGGCCATAAGAATAATTAACGGGTATTAAAATAATAATTTTGTGGCCCGTTAAACCCGTAAATACCAACACAGTACATAAAAATCCAAGTTTAAGGTTCTGGAATTTACAAAACAGGCCCTAGGGGTAATCTGGTAATTTCCAGCAGCTGACAGGGCCCCTCACGCGCCCCCACGCACCGCCTTAAGCTTCCCCACGCGCAGCCCAACCTTCCTCACTCTCCCACGCGCCTCCACGCACGTCTGGCATCAGCCACGCGCGCGTACGCGCTCCCACGCGCGCGTTGATGGCTTCCTGCTGACGTGGCGTCCTCCGGTTGGTTGGCTGCATCAGCTTTCCTACATGCGCGCCACACCGGATCATCTATCATCTCATCTTACCTAATCCAAGGGTCAATGATCCGGGTGTACCGCGGTAACATGGACCGCGATGCACCGGATCAATCAGCTTCATCTAAGGCCCAGGATGCGCGCGCGCACTAACCTACAATGCGCCGCATCACACCGGATCACTCCGGTCATCTTCTTCACTGCCGGTGGCCAGAAACCTTGCCGGAGGCTCGCCGGAAATTGCAGAAAAGCCCCGGAAAAATCTAGAAAATTCTAGAAAAATCCCTAAAGCCTTATTTAATTATTTTTAGCTATATTTTAATTACATAGGCTAATAAATAAATATCTAACCTCTTTAATAATTAAAAACACATTATTTTAATAAACTAAAAATAATTAATTGAAATTCCTAGCATGGTTTCTAGTCTCTAAAAATCCGAAATAAATTAAATGAATAATTTATGGATTCAAAGGGGAAAAGTAGATAATAACTTGCCTTTTTGGATTTAAAATAAATCCGCCGGTTGCGCGTAGTCAGGTAAACTTCTCCAACACCGGTCCAAGCTCATTTCTTTCTTTCTCTTCCTTTCCACACTTTTACAATGGCTTACTAAAATTTATAATTTGTTTCTAACTCCCTTTCCTTCCTTCTAAGGTAGGCTAGCTAATTTATATACAATTTATATAATATAAATATTACAAATATCTATTTTTGCATTTAATTAACCACATTCCCAACCATAAGGCTTTAAGGCAAGCAAGCCAAGTCAAGCAAGATGTCCTAAGGTAAATCCTATCCTAAGATTTAATTTCTTCATCATTACATTGATTTAATACTATTATTATTATTATAATAATTATTATTATTAAACTATTACAATTATTATTATTATAAATTTTATTATTATATTATTATTATAAATATTATTATTATATTATTCAATACAAATTAAATACTTTAATTAAATAATAATAATTAATCTAAAACATAACCAATAAAAATTTCAAAACTAATCATTATACTATATAGAACATAAAAATCAATATTACATGCACAAATAAATAAAATCAATTAACTAATTTAACATATATAATTACAAGGTGAATAAATCTACACATTTAAAGAATTAACCTAACACAAAATTAATTCAAAATTAATTTAAATAAACTCTTTAAAATTACGGGGTATTACACTTAGGATGCTGGAAATTCTGAGGACAACGGGGGGCCAGCTAATGCTGCTCTGTTGGAAAAGAGTTTGGGAAAAAGGCCAATGCCTGAGGGCGGTCATGATCAGAGTGATATCCCTCCGACCCGAAGGATAAGGACGGCTTCCTTCAGGGTTACTGAACCATCGCCCCCTGCCCGGTTCTTTATTCCTGAAGGTGAGTCGGCCAGAACCTCTGGTCCAATTCCATCCATTCTTCCATGGTGACCTTTGCTCAGCTGTGAAGATGGATCAACCATTGGCCCCACTGACTCAATATACAAAGACCCCCTAACCTCGTTTGCTTTCTACAAGGGCTTCTGGACCCCCAAAGACCTTGAAATCCAGAACAAACTGTCCTTTGGTGAGATGTTCCAACGGTTCCCGGCTGTTGCTATGGAGGTGACCCTTCTTCCACTGAACTGTGTTCCTTTTCAGTTATGATTCCTTTGTACTTAGTCTAATCTGAATTTCTTTTTCTTCATACAGACTCTGTTCGGGATGTTCACCTTTCATAAAATAGTTGAAACACTGAATAAAAAACTTAAGTCTCTTTCTGTGGGCCTTAAAAGGTCTGTTGAAGCAGAGACTCTTCTTGAGGCCAGAGTTGCTGAGCTGGAGTCAAAGCTTAGGGACTCTGAGAAGGAAGTTGCCGACCTAAAGGCAGAGAAAGACGGTCTGGCAAACGAGAGGGATTCCCTCAGAGCTGAACAGGATTCCCTGAAGACCGAACGGGACTCTCTTCATGATGAGGTTGATGTCTTAAAAACTGAGAAGAGTGTAGCTCTGACAGAAAGGGACTCTCTCAAAGCCGAAAAGGGGGACCTTCAGCGTTCATTCATTGCTGAACGGTTATCATATGCGAATTCCAAAGAAAAACTTCTGAACGAACGGTCTTCCCTGATGAACATGATCAGCAAAGTCGAAGGGGGAATGAGGGCTCTCCTTGCTCGCTTTACCAGGACCAGTGCCATCCGGTATGCTGAAGGGTATAGAGACGGTTTTGTTGACCGTTCTCCCCCCGAAGGTGAATCAAGCTCTTGTGCTGGTCCTGATGAACTGGACGCTTCTCTAGACATCCACCCCCCAAACAACTATCAAAATCCACCATGCGACCCAGCCAAGAACATTTTTATTGAATGCATAGAGGTCACATCTTCAGGAATTGTCCCACCCTTTCACCTTCTGAACATTCTTCCCCTTTCTACCATCGTGCCATCTTCCTCCGTCGCTACCGAAAGACCTATGCCTACTGAGGGGGTGATTCATCTCGACTCCCCTTCTAAGGATGATAGGGTAGATGGAGATCTCGATGGTCCAGAGGGAGATGGTGGCGAGAACGACAAGCCAAAGTCTGGAGAAGATCAGAATTGAGAGCCAATAGCATTTTTTTTTTTTTTTTTTTTTTTTGAATCTGCATGTATGGTACTATGTACCTTGGGGCCTTTTTGGCTATGAATGATAATATCTTTGCTCAGTATCACTTTCCTCCATTGAGTTTTCTATTTTCAGCTTTGCAGTGTTGTTTTTTATTTTTATAAGTGTTTAGCGTTCAGCCATATCATCATTCTGTCCTTTCTTTACTCATTTCTGAGCAAGTGTTTGGCGTTCGGCTTTAAGTGCCAGCTGCCACTAACTTGCTGAAAGCCTGGCGCTCGGCCTGAATGCCTCTTGCCACTTGGCATTTTCATTTTCTGAGCAAATGTTTGGCGTTCGGCTTTAAGTGCCAGCTGCCACTAACTTGCTGAAAGCCTGGCGTTCGGCCTGAACGCCTCTTGCCACTTGGCTTTTTCATTTTCTGAGCAAGTGTTTGGCGTTCGGCTTTAAGTTCCAGCTGCCACTAACTTGCTGAAAGCCTGGCGCTTGGCCTGAACGCCTTTTGCCACTTGGCTTTTTCATTTTCTGAGCAAGTGTTTGGCGTTCGGCTTTAAATGCCAGCTGCAACTAACTTGCTGAAAGCCTGGCGCTCGGCCTGAACGCCTCTTGCCACTTGGCTTTTTCATTTTCTGAGCAAGTGTTTGGCGTTCGGCTTTAAGTGCCAGCTGCCACTAACTTGCTGAATGGGAAGGGTGTAGATTTTTAACAAAGAAGAGGCTTTTTATAAAGCATGGAAATTTCGTACACTTTCAAGCATGCAATTCAGAACGTACAATATGCTTGAAATTAATCTACTTTTACTGGTAGTACCTTTTCAGAGACATAACATTCCATGGCTTATTGACTATCCTTCCTATCATAGTTTCTAGGACGTATGCCCCCTTCCCAATGACTTCTGCTATTCTGTACGGACCTTCCCATGGGGAGAACATCTTTTTCAGAACCAGATCGCCGGGAGCGAAACCCCTGTGCCTCACCTTCTTGTTATGGCTATTCACGAGCGTCTGTTGATAAGAGGCGAGCCTCATTGCAGCCGCATCCCTTTTTTCTTCCAATAAATCAAGATTGAACCTCAGCATTCTATCATTCTACTCTCGATCCCATGCCAAGCTCCTTACAATTGGAACCAAATGCTTGACTGGTATCACCACCTCGGTGCCATAGGCCATAGCGAATGGGTTCTCACCAGTTGGCCGTCTTAGGGTTGTTCTGTAAGCCCACAAGACGTTCGGTAGCTCATCCAACCATTTGCCTTTTTCATTCTCCAGCTTTTTCTTGATACAAGCAAATATTGTCCTGTTTGTGATTTTGGCTTAACCATTAGCCTGAGGATGACTGAATGCTGCTAACTTTTGATTGATTCCATATTCCTCTAGCAGCTCTCTCACTTGCTTGCTATCGAGGTTGGTTCCATTGTCCATCACGATTGACCTTGGTATGCCAAAACAACAGATAATATTATTCCAGATGAAGCGTCTTACTTGAGTTTGGGTGACACTAGGGTACGGCTCCGCTTCTACCCAATTGGTGAAGTAATCAGTAGCTAGCAGAACGTACTTATTATGTGATCTTGCAATCGGCAAAGGGCCAACCACGTCCATCCCCCACTGCGCGAAAGGCCATGGGGTGGCCATTACGTGCAGGTCTTCAGGTGGTTGATGTATCAATGACCCTAACCTCTGGCATTTATCGCATCTTCAAGAGAATTCTTCTGCATCTCATGCCATGTTCGGCCAGAAGTACCCCTGTGTCATTGCTTTGTGTGCTAAAGATCTTCCTCCGGAGTGATTTCCGCATACTCCCTCATGAATGGTTCGCATAATCTGTCTAGCTTCTGTAGGGGTAGCACACTTCAAATATGGACCCGAGAAGGAGCGTCTATATAACTGACCGTGCACAATGGCATACTTTGCTGCGCTGAACCTAATTCTTCTTGCCTCGTCCTTACACTCGGGGAGTATACCACTACGTATGTAAGCCATGATTGGATCAATCCAGCTCAGCTCATATGGTATGACATTAACATGTTGAGTGCTCGGATCAGGCAGTTCTTCAAAAATGGAAGGTTGGATCAGTATGTCGACCGGGATGACCCTAGCTAAAGTATCTCCAGAACTAGATGCGCTACAAGCCAAGCGATCGGCATTTTCGTTATACTCTCTTGGCAACTGGATAAACCCGATCTGATCAAAGGCTTTCACCTCACGCAGAACCGCAGTTCGGTATGCTTCCATAGTCTCATCCTTGGCTCCATAGTCCCCATTGACTTGTCGAATGACTAGTTGCGAGTCACTATAAGCCATCAGATTCTTGATCTTCAATTCCTTAGCCAACTTCAACCCGGCTATCAGCGCCTCGTATTCTGCCTCATTGTTGGTCGCACTGAACTCTAGTCTTATCACTTGGCTCAGCGTAGTTCCTTCTGGTGTTTGCAATTGAATTCCAATCCCGGCCCCCATTTGATTCGAGGAGCCGTCCACGAAAAGCTTCCACCAAGAACAATTACAATCCTCTACCGTATCTTCATCATCACAGTCAAGTAAGAAATCCGCCACTGCTTGACCTTTAATTGCCGTCCTGGCCTCGTATGTGATATCAAATGAACTCAATTCAATGGCCCACTTGGTCATTCTCCCCGACAGGTCCAGTTTGTGCAGGATCATTCTCAAAGGGAAAGTTGTTAAAACGACGATTGGGTGAGATTCAAAATAGTGTTTAAGCTTCCTTTTTGCGTTGACCAGCGACATGATCATTCGTTCGGCCCTAGAGTATCTTCTCTCTGGTTCAGACATTGTCTTGCTAACATAAAACACCGGGAACTGCTTGCCCTCTTTGCAACGGATCAGAACGACACTGGTTGCTAAACTGGACACCCCGAGATATAGAAAAAGTCTCTCATTCGGTTCTGGAGCAGACAGATCGGGGGATTACGCATGTACTCCTTCAGGCTGATTAGTGCCTGCCGTTGTTCATCCCCCCAGGTTTGCCTTCCATGCCCTCGTATTGTATCAAAGAAAGGTTTACAGCGGTCCGAAAGCTTGGAAATAAATCGGCTCAGTGCGGCTATCCTGCCTGTGAGTGCCTGCACCTCTTTAATTATCTTTGGCTCTGCATTCCTAATCAAGGCTTCTGCCTGTGCTGGGCTGACCTCAATTCCTCTATGATTGACCACATGTCCCAGGAATTGATCGGAGCTTACACCGAATGAGCACTTGGCCGGATTAAGCTTCATCCCATACTGGCACAACACATCGAACACATCTTGCAGGTGCGCTAAATGATTGCTCTTCTTCTTACTCTTGACGACCATATCATCAATGTAAGCCTCGACAGTGCTGCCCATCTGGCCCTTAAAAATCTTGCTGATCAGCCTTTGATAAGTGGCTCCGGCGTTTTTCAATCCGAATGGCTTGACTTTATAGCAATAAGTCCCTCGTTCAGTAATAAATGAAGTCTTCTCTTCATCAACTGGATCTATAGGAATTTGGTTATAACCGGAATAAGCATCCAGGAAAGTTAACCGCTCATATCCTGTGGTGGCATCTACCATTTGATCAATCTTGGGCAACGGAAAAATATCCTTTGGGTAGGCTTTGTTTAGGTTGGTGAAGTCGATGGACACTCTCCATTTTCCATTCTTCTTCTGCACTACAACAACGTTAGAGAGCCAGGCCGGGTACTGAACTTCTCTGATGAATCCGGCTTCAAGCAGCCGATCAACCTGCTCAGCTATAATCTGGTTTCGTTCTGGAGCAAATCTTCTCTGTTCTGCTTTACTGGCTTTGCATTCAGATCCACATTGAGAGAATGGCAGGATACAGCAGGATTTATCCCTGGCATATCTGAATGGCTCCATACGAATACATCCGCATTCCGAATCAGGAAATTAGTCAACTCTAGTCTCTCTTCTTCAGTGAGTTTGGTGCCCACCCTTGTTGTTCGGTCTGGTTTTCCACGATCAATCTTTGCTTCATGAAGGGGTTCTGTGGTCAGAACTGGCGGCTCCTCCCCCCCATCCTTACTGGGAGAAGGGTTCTGTAATTGTTATTTTGGAATGGCAGAACGGATGGGATTTTTCCCTTTTCCAGTAGATTTTAAAGTTACTGAATAACATTCTTTAGCCGCAACCTGGTCCCCATGTATATCTATCACATTGGTCCCATCCAGACCTAAACATCACATCACTTGATGTAAGGTTGACGGAATGCCCTAAATTCTGTGAATCCATCCTCTGCCCATCAAGAGGTTGTATGATGGATAAATTGCCACTACCACAAAACTTTCAGTCAGAACTCGCTCAGCGGCTTGTACTGTCAATTCTACTATTCCAATGGGTTCCACTCGCTTCCCATCAAATCCGAGCAACGGATTCCCTGTGGGTTTGAGTTTTTCGGTCTCCAGTAGGTCGAACGTCACCCTGGGCATGACATTCGCACTACTTCCTGGATCAATCAGGAGTCTCCGAACCAGGCATTCTGCAATCGTCAGACTGACGACTAGTGGATCTTCATGAGGAATCTGAATGCGTAGCAGGTCCGTTTTATCAAACTTTATTGATGTGGACGTGTTTTGCTGGTGTAAAGCATGCACACTACCAATTCTTCTTTTCAGCTGGGCCTGGCGTAACCTCGTCCTGAGCAACTCCTCTGACTCCATCGTTTGCTCAGGCAGGCCATGAATTGCGTTTATAATCCTGATGGGTTAGGAGTTGTGTTGGTTTGGCCTCTGGTTCCGCTTGATTTGCTCAGTCGAGCGATTATGCTCTTGCGCCGGACCCTGGACATAGCTTGCAAACTACCCCTTTGCGATCAGCATCTCTATCTGTCTCCTTAGGTTCCTGCATTCGTTAGTCTGATGCCCAAAATCACTATGGAAAGCACAATGTTTAGTCTGATCTCTCTATTCAAGAGGTTGCCTGATTGGCAGAGGAGGACGAAACTTATCTTTGTTCTCCTGGTATAGCCTTGCTAAAGTGACTCTGAGTGGAGTGACTGATTCCTCCTCCCTGGGCCTCTTCTCCGCCTTCCATGAGGGGTGACGTTGCGGTTGAGCTTGTTTTTGCCAGATCTTAGCTTTGGACTTCTCCTCCGTCGAAATAATTGACGTCTTCCTTGAATTAGCTGCTTCTTCCTCCTTAAGGCGAACAAAACCGTCAGCTCTCTCGTTCAGCTCGTCCATTGTCTTTGGCGTATTAACCACCAAGCTGGTGTGGAACGGCGTCCCCCGGTTCATTGCGAGTTTAAATGCTTGGACTGTTGTGGACGGGTGGCACTCCATTACCATGCTCGTAATGAGGTTGAACCGGGTGAGAAAAGCTTGGAGCCACTCATCCTCATGCTGCTTCATTGTAAAAAGGCTCGATACATCCTTGGCCGGACGCTTATTCCCATAATACTGGCTTATGAACTTATCGCATAAGTCTTGGAAACTGGCGATTGAGCCTTGAGCCAGATTCTTGAACCAATTGAGAGTTGGTCCAACCAGGCTCGTAGGGAAACACTTGCACATCAAACGATCATTATTAGTATTCAAAGCCATTTTTAACTGAATATGGTATATGTGATCGACCAGATCAGTTGTTCCGTCAAACAGAATGAAGATCAGCATGGAAAACTTCTTCGGATTCGGCGCGTTCAGAATTTCATCAGTGAACGGCGATGCGACTGTCCTTACTGAGGAACGCAATGCTTCGTTTTCTCTTGAAAATCGTGACTGAAATCCTCGATCGGCAGATCTCCTTTCCGAGCTATTGTAATCAACTGCCGCTAATGAAGGTCGGTATGGCGGATCGAACGACCTATCCTCCGCAAATTCACTCCGCCATGGTGACGCAACCCGATGTTCATACGCTGGTGCTTCCTCCCTCATAATCCGTTTGTGATGCGGTTCCAGACGAACAGATCCTTCCCGATCTTCTACTCTGCCGGCATTCGGAGGCAGATTACCGATTATATCTTCATCACGATGTAAACCACCACGATTGACGTCTTCTGGATCACCTTGACGATCAGCTTCGAACGGTAAAGCTCCCTTTCCTTCAAGAGGTGGCCTCGGAATTGCAAGAGCCTCACGATGCTCCATTCCAGCCCGTAGCTCTGCATTTTCTTTCCTCAAAGCATCGATCATGTTCATCAGCTCGTCGAGCTTTGTCTGCTGGCCGTTCTCCAAAGGATTCGAGTTCGCCTCTCTGATCATCATTCCAGATCGGAGCAAAGTCATCAACTGCAGACTTCTTAACCAAATCGGAGCTCCACTAACGCGTGCACACCAGATCTGAACTTACACTTGCTAAATTCAGTCCGCTACTGGCTGGATTCAGTAATCACAACAGATCGCAATTGCGCAGTTCGCCGGATCAAGCACGGATCTGATCTGCTTGGATCGGACGCCAATTTTCCGAAATCAACCGGAGCCTTGACTCGTCAAGACAGATCGTATTATCATCAATGTTGATTCAGCTTTTGCTGAGTAGTCGTCTTCCTCGCAGAATACGTTGAATCGATCCGATCTAGAATGATATCAATCAGTCCTTCTTGTTCTTCCCACAGATGGTGCCAATTAAAAGTACAAAGAATTTTTCCCTAATTGTAGAGAGAGAAACTTTACACTCCCAATGATTTTTCAACCCCTTTTCCCTCTCAATCCCTTCTATTTATAGACAGTTACAACCTCCACTGAGCTGATCCTATCCTATTCCCCTTTGGTTGGACTCGATTCCTCTTATTTCATCATGGGCTTCTGAAATGGCTTTATGGACCTGGACCCATACGGCGCGAACTGGCTCCATCCCATTTGTCCACATCCGACCCATCCTATGCAATATGGATCACTCCAAGCCCGGGTCATTTTGGTATCCTCATGCATGAAATTAACTTGTGATAGGGTACTAAATTAAGTCTTGGCATGCTCTTTAACATACTTTAATTTTGGAGCATTTGGATAAGTTTGAAAATCTAGAGATTTTAATTAAAAGGTTTAATTAAAATCTATTTAATGGTTCCATTGGCTTAATTAAGTTTTTAACTTGATATTTGTGATGAGTATGACTTGTACACTAGTATATATTAATTTGGGACCATTTGGTGTTGTTTTAGAAGTTAGAGATTTAATTATCATGGTTTAATTAAAATCTACCTTATTGTTCTATGGCCTAATTAAGTTTTTGAATGGGTATATGAAATGGACATGCAATGTTGTTTAACATGTGTCAATTAGGGGTCATTTAATTGAGATTTGAAACTTAGAGAAATTAATTAGGTTATGTAATTAATTTCCGTTTCTATTGCGTTAATAATTTAATCATGTGTTTGACATTGATTGTATATTTAAATCATGATTTTGGACTTATATTAGATTCTTCAGTTTATGTTTTCAATATTGAATTATATTGTTATAGCATGAAACGAATCGCACACTGAAGATTCGACATGTGATATTGTTATAGCGCGTAACGAATCGCGCTCTAAAGATTCGACATTGCCATCCTATAGTAGTTGTGGATTTAGAGCATGAGTTGTGTGGTTACAACCTACTTGTGCATGGAATGTAGTTTCGTGCTTTATATATATTTCGTATATAAGTTGTTAGCTTATTTATTTTGGAACCGCTTGGGACATTGCTTGATGGCTAGGGTTTGGCCCTAGTACGGAGACACAAGTCCTCTAAGTCAAAAGTACGCACGTTGGGTAGACTGCCCAGGGGTTAGTAGCCCAAAAGAAGTCATATGTCGGTCTAATCCGATTAGTGTCCAAGTATATCCGCCTTTGTTGATTTCGCATTCAATTCCAAGTTGGCAACCAATGTTTAATTGTGACTTGTGGTTTTGGTTATTGGCGAATTAATGTTGTTAAATATATTCAAGCATTATGATTTCTAATGAATCATTGCAGGTTTTGATATTATTAAGTACATTCAGGCATTATGATTTCTAATGAATCATTGCAGGTTTTTGATGTTGTTAAGTATATCTATGCTATATTGTTCAAATGTAGCTTAGGAATGATCCTATAGATTCATTTGGAACATAGACGTTAGGTGGCATGACCCACTTTAGTTGTTTTCATGTTTTAGATTTCAAGTTGATGACTTTGAGAATCTATATCTTGTTTCTTGGTATAGCATATTTTTATGTTGATGAAATTGCATGGATGATGTGATTTATGCTAGAAATGATCTAGGGAAGCTTAGGATGTTCCCTGAGTCTCATCTTGACATAGACGTAAAGTGGCATGAGCCCCTTCAACATGTTTCACCTTAAGGTGATAAGATTGTAAAATGCCAGGTCGATGCATGCTCATTTCCTACGAGTAGCTTTATGTTGCTCACCCCAAAGTTACTGGGGTATAGTTCAGGTATAGGAATCAAGATTGAGATTTTCATTATTCTTGCGCGATTAGTGGACTTGAAGGTTCCATTTTGTGAAGGTTGGCTTGAAATGTCATTTGTAGCCTTATTTGTCAAATGAGTATATTTGATTCTAAACTTGTAATGTGTGCCTAAGCATACTTTTTTATTCTAATTTTATGTATATGATATAAGGCCAATGACCAAATTTCCTTTGAAGTCCATGTTTATTCATAATGGTTGTATTTTGCCTTTAATGAGAATATATGAAAAAGCATGCGTTTTAGTATGTTATTTTGCACCGGAGTGTGCTTTATGTATGAAATTCATTATTTAGCATTCATTTACCATGTATGAGGTGTGGCCAAGGGCCAAACAACCATTTTGTTTTCACTTTTGTATTTTTGTTTCACATATTGCGTTTTTTAGATAAAATAGTAAAATTTGAGCCTTTAAGGATTCATTTTCAAATCGGGTGGCATAAAGTGTGTTGCGGCACGTCCACTAGGGTTAATTTATCATGCATGAAGTGTGGCCAAGGGCCAAATGGTCATTTGAAATCATTTGTAAATTTTGGATTTCAAATTTTCCATTTCAAGTCCATTTTTGCCTTTTTGGCCGTTGGGGAGTCGAATTTTGACTCGGCTATTTTTGGGAGCCACGGACCATTCCTGCTTGCTCAAAATCATCATTTACGTTGACGTGCATAATTGTTTTCGTGAAAAACGCTCTCATTTGTGTTTTGAGCCTTCTACGGACTCATTTCACATTTTTGTTGCATAAACCGGTTTAAGGGCATTTTGGGATTTTTCTTCGGGAAATAAATTCTAGCCTTCACATGGTCACTTAGAAAATGTGATTTTAGGGAGGTTTCTTCTTCGTGTTTTCCAGAAAATGTCTTCTTGGTGTCGGAAATCCATCGCAAAGTTCAGCTTTCTGTTTTTCATTTAGCAGCTTTTTGGACCCTCGTGACCAGATTTCATGGAGGGGCATTTTGGCCATTTCATAGTGAGTTTTTTTCATTTTATCACACGCGACTGGGTAGAAAATTTGATTTCGGGAGGGGTTTCTTCTTTGTGATTTTCTAGAAAAATTCATCTACTAGCCCGTTTTTGATCTCAGTTGCGGACGGATCCTGTAGCAGCTTTTAACCATCTTGGTCTAGACTGATCTAGGGGCATTTTGGGAATTTGTTTTGAAAAATAAATTCTGGTCTTGACTTGGTCACATAGAAATGTGATTTTAGGGGGAGTTTCTTCACAATAGTTTTCTAGAAAATGTCATCTCGGACCCGAAAACCCAGCGTCAAATCT